AGCACACGCAAGCCAAAATTTAGTAAGGCGGTGTTTGGATTCAGTGACTAAAATTTAGAAGGTGTGTCGGAAGGATGTTGTATGAGGTGTTCGGATACTAATAAAAAAATAAATTACATAATCCACGAGACGAATTTTTTAAGCCTAATTAATCCGTCATTAGCACATGTTTACTGTAGCACTACATTGTCAAATCATGAACTAATTAGGCTTAAAAGATTCGTCTCGCAAATTAGTCGCAAACTATGTAATTAGTTTATATTTAATACTACATACATGTGTCAAACATTCAATGGGACAGGGACTAAAATTAAGGAGGGGCAATCATACACCACCTTAAGGGCACTCCCAACCCAGACTCTATGATAGAGTCCATCCTTATTTATTATGGTGCCACATCATCATTTTAATGACGTGGAAGGCAATTTAATGAAGAAAGAGAAGAAAACCGAGTCTTATTTGGACGCTGGGTCTTCGATACTCCCGAGGCCGCAAGAAACCACCATGCCTCACATTGTGGAGGGCAGCGTAGAGTCGATGGATCCCGTACGCCATCCATGCGCCGCCGCCGCAACTCCTCCCTCTCCCGCGCATGCGCTATTCTCCCACGCTCCTCCTCCTACGCGCGCGCTCGCCCGAGCCCGCCATCGATCTCCCGCGTTTTCTCGACCTCCCCGCACATGCTCATGTAGTTGAAGCCACCGTCGTCGCCAAAGTTTCGAGGATGCGCGCCAATTTCAGGCCCTGTCCCCTCCAATCCCCCCGATAATCTCCCTCCCTCTTCCGCCCATCTCCCATCGGTTCATATCCAGGTCCATCCATAGCTCCCTTCGATTCCATCTCCTCCCCCATACACTGTGACCCAAGAAGATCCCCAAATCTTACAGATGAATCAATTAACAAAGACTGATTCTCAGCGAGGCAGAGGCGTCCCTAAAACCCTTCCTCCATCTGTCCATGGTGCTGGGATCTATGCTTCGGTCGCCGGTGCTGCAGCAGCCCGTGCTCAAGCTGGAGCCACCGACGTTCCTCAAGATGCTGGTCTTCCTCGAATAGGTGCTTCACCCGTTGGTGGATGGTGGCCAATGTCATATCCTAGCGAAGGGTAAATAAACTCTGACTAAATCTCCTAACGAAGGTGCTCTTGTTGCTGATTATGTGTTTCTAAATTCTGGTGTATGGAAATTCATATGGTTGCAGGTTATACCCACCAGGAGGGTTCTCAAATTTTCTGCAGTCAAACCCATTTGCTAACCATCCAAATGGAAATGAAAATTTTCACTTTGTTGGTGTTGGATTGAGTCAATCTTCAGTTTCACCAATTGACATGGGTGCTACAAGAACTCCCTCTCCAGCACAGCAAACTGTTGACATAGTGGATGATATAGATGCAGAAGAAGATGAAACAATTAACATTGATGAGACTTCTAGAACATCCAACCGTTTGAATTGGTCGGTCCGTGAAGACATACGACTGGTAGGTTGAAAGCATGCTACCTCCATGCACACTTGAAGATTAACTATTGTCTTTTTCATTCTGTTCTTTTTGTTGTTTAGGCCAGTGCTTGGTTGCGTAATTCAAAGGATCTAGTAGATGTAAATGACAAGAAGTCAGATGCTTATTGGACAGATGTTACTAAAGAATACAACAAGACCACATAAAATAGTCATAAGAGGAACCGGAACCAATTGAAAATACGTTGGGATCGTTCTAAGAAACCATTGATTAATTTTCATGGATGTTAGGTAAATGTCAGTAGAGTGTGGGAAAGTGAGATGACTGATGACCAGTTGACTAACAAAGCACTAGAGATGTGGTCCGGCCAAAATAATGGTAAGGCCTTCCATCTGCTGCATATGTGAAAGGTAGTACGTGGACAGCAGAAGTGGTCAGCATATCTTGCTAGGTTAAAGAAGGAAAAGAAAAAGAGTACAAAGGCTGGTCCAACTCAAATGGTGGATTTGGAATTAGATGGAGAAAAGCGACCTATAGGACATAAGAAAGCAAAAAGAGAACTCAATGGAAAAAAGAAGTCATCTGATGCTTTGGCTGATTTTAGTGAAAAGGTTGAGAAGTTCATTGAAGCAAGCATGAAGAATAGGGAAGACAGAGAGAAGGTGACTGAAATTCAGCAAAGCTTGGCTGATAAGAAGATTGAAGCAGCTAGGCTTAAACATGAAGCAGCTCATGAACAAACTAAGTGCAAAATGCTAGTAACTTACACATAGCTATTGCTTGCGCCTACTGATCAGCTTAATGCAGAAGCTTTGGCTGAGAGAAACAAGGCATTGGAGAACCTGAGACTTGCTTTATTTCCTAAGGTATGACTACAGTCAACCCTTGTTTAATTTGCATATATATTAATTGCTTCGAAGTGTTAACCGATGGATTTGTAATTTTGTAGAATTGATTATGCAGTAGCTGAATGGTAACTAATGGTCTTCTAATTTCTATGGAATTGATTTATGCAAGGTAACTGAAATCCTTTTATTTCCTATGATCAGTGCTATTTTAATTCCTGTGAACACCCACTAGCGTGAAACTGTAATGCATTCAAGTGTGAACTGAAATAGCATGCAAGTGGGAAAACATACAGCCATAGCAATTGTGATTATATATAGCACAGCCACGGTACCTTGTAGTCATTGCTTCCCTTTCTTATATGCTACACACTGCTACTGCTTCCCTTTCTTCTCTGCTACCCGCTGCTATCCTTTGCTGTCATGGATGGAGATGACAGCATGGACCCTGCTGATCTGTACTCTATGGATGATTATCTTCAAGAGCAAGAAATTCTAGATGATTTAGGCGATCATATAGTAGCTGAGATGCAGTCCGTTGCTGATGTCATACAAGGTGGAAGAAGTAGGTGTGGTCCTAGACGATATGTGGACAGGCCTCGTGAACAAGCCAGCAAGCAACTAATGGATGACTATTTCTCTCCTAATCCTGTCTACAATGAGACACGATTTCATAGAAGATTTAGGATGAGGAGACCCCTCTTTCTGAAGATTGTTGAGGCCTTGAGTGGGTGGTCTGATTATTTCACCGTAAGATTGGATGCTCTGAATCGTCCCGGGTTTTCACCAGTTCATAAGTGTACAGTAGCGGTCCATCAATTAGCATATGGCAGTTCTGCAGACCAGCTAGATGAGTACTTGAAGATGGGAGAAAGTACTGGTGTGGAGTGCTTGAAAAAGTTTGTTCAGGGAGTCATTGAAGTATACGGTGAAGAGTACTTGAGACGCCCCACAGTACAAGATGTGGAACGATTGTTGGAGATCGGTGAGTGTCGTGATTTTTCTGGCATGATAGGGAGCATTGACTGTATGCATTGGCATTGGGAAAAATGTCCATATGTATGGAAGGGACAATATACCTGTGGTGATCAAGGTGTGCCAACAATTATTCTAGAGGCTGTTGCTTCACATGACAGATGGATATGGCATGCTTTCTTTGGAGTGGCGGGGTCCAACAATAACATTAATGTGCTGAATCAATTTACTTTGTTCGTCGATCAGTTAAGAGGAGAAGCTCCCCAGGTGCAGTACTTTGTGAATGGAAGGCAATATAGCAAACCTTATTATCTTGCAAATGGAATATACCCAGAGTGGGCTATTTTTGTCAAGTCCATACGTGCACAAGCTGTTTTTAGAACATCAAGAGGGGGCAAGAAAAGATGTTGAATGTGCATTTGGGATTTTACAATCTCGCTTTTGCATTTTGCGTCGGCCAGCACGTCTTATGAACAAGGGGATCTTGAGAATATCATGTTAGCTTGTATAATTCTTCACAACATGATAATCGAGGGCGAGAAGGATATAGAGGACGATTCGTTTGACTTGAACGAGGAAGCAACCACGTCTACCGTTCAGCCGTCTACAATCACTCAAGGACATGATCCGGCGATGGAAGAGGTACTACAGAGAGATACCGAGATTCGTGACCGTGAAGCTCATAGGCAACTACAATTTGATTTGATTGATCACATCTGGCAAAAGTTTAGAAATCGAACTAATTAGGTAGAAATATTAAATTTATATATTATATACTACCCTGTTACATGAATATTTTCATATGACTATGTCACAATAGTTCTGTCCATCTCTCTTTTTCTTATAACACAGTTGTTTATTTACTATCTCATCTTATTTTACATGTTGATGATCAGGGCATAAAAGTGTTAATGGCTTCTATCTGGAGGATGGTGGATTGTTTTATGTAGGCAGGAAGACTTCTGAAGCCACGGCCGGAGATTATCTAATTATTTTGGTTTTCCTATCTATATTTCTATTTTTATTGTAATGGACGTCAGTCTCAGTCATGGTGCATGCTATATTTCTATCCTTATTGCTATTGTAATGGATGACTCGTGGCTAGCTTATCTAAACTTTCATTAAAGTTCTGTGTAGAGTATCTTTGTCGGCTAACTGATATATTATATGCGTTGGGTTCATTCACATATTACTTCTGATGATATATATCATGTATGCGGATGGTGATATTGTTGAGAGGTGTAGGGTGGGTCACACAGTTTATGCCACAGCTGATCACCTTTCTTTGTGTTGAGTAATAAATGTTTTTATCTATAAAAATTACTATTATAAATTCTGTATTGGGGATCCTGATTTCTTGTGATAGAGTGTTGGACGTTAGAACTCTGGGGGGTAGAGTCTGGGTTTGGGAGTGCCCTAAGTCCGCGCTCGTGCCTTCAAACAAAGAAAAGCAAATCCCCGCCCCTCACAGGTCCAAATCTGGATCCCACGCGCCGCCGACTCCTCAACCCCACGCCCAGCAGCAGGGAGCCGCCGCCGCCGCCGGTGGGAGGGGGCCGCGCGGGGCTGGCCGCCGCCTGCGGACGCAGGGCGCCGGGCCGTCCTTGCCTTGCTCTGGCTGGTTTTACCGAGCGGCTGCATGCCCGCACCCGCGAAGACGGTGAAGTCGCGACCGCGGACAGCGCCCTCCACCCGCGACTGCGTCGGCCGTCGGCGCGCCCCCCATGGCGCGGACGAGATCCTGGCCGGGGGCGACGCCGGTGCGGGTGACCTCCTGGTCGGGGGCGTGGCCAGGGCGGGCGAGATCCTCGCCGGTTGTGCGCGGCCTCCTGGCCACGGCCGACGCCGGGCCGAGTAGCATCCTGGCCGAGGGCGACGCCGAGCCGAGCAGCCTCCTGTCCGGGATCGCGAAGATGAGCCTCCAACTCGCCGGAGCCATGCCAGGCGCATCAGGCTCACGGCAGAGTGCCCCACTGGTTCCCACTCCAGCCCTGCTCTGGAGGAAGAGGAGAGGTGAGTTTGTGCCTGTTGTGGAAAGAGACCCAAGCTTTAATTAAACATTATTACGCCTTTTCTGAGAAAGAACTGTAATACTAGCGAGGTTTTGTCTGGTGATTTGGGGAATTTTGTTGATTCGATTCAAATGATGACAAGGTCACCTTACCTGCTCGTTTGGGTAATATTCAGTTCAGTTTCCGTCAGTGATTTTGAGTAGGTTATATTGCTGGGATGCTGGCAACGGACGTAGGCAAATCTGTCAAAATTCTGTTTCTGGATCATTTGTTCAAGATGAACCGATTTTGTTAGTATTGTTTTGTCTATCCTTTCAACTTCTTTCCAAGGGAGTTATGAAATTCAGAAGGAGGCATGTTAATTCAAAGGCATATTCTGTGGAATTGCTTTCAAGCTTTAAGGTGATGTGTCTATACACAGGTCACGGCTCACGGGTATTGTCCCTCCAAAGGAAATCCAAGAGAATGTTGATGTGCCACCGAATCCCAGTTACTATATTTCCCCTCGCCGTGGTAGGATCATGTTTCTAAAACGTAGAGCTATGCCTTCATTGTCAGAGCAACATCTATAATATATATTTATATAAATCTTGAATTCAAACATTTACATTGTATAAAAGTAGTTTCCAGATGAATTTTTTTTGTCAATCTATATAAATTCTTTGATATTATGCTCTATGGACCATCACTATACCACAGCCAATCTTTGATATGATGCTCAGGGTGTTTCCCTGCACATGACAGATTTGCTCACAACAACTACTACACACTACAGCTGATTTGGCTGTGCAGGTAAAGAGGGCCCTCGAGGCACAATGCCTTTGATCTGTCCAAGAGGCATTGATCTGAAAGATGGCGCCCTGTTTGCTACTCTTAGTGCAAAAATCCAAGGAAAAAAATGTTGGGATCCCTATCTGTGAAGGAGCTGCTACGTCAAAGTCTCCATGGGATGAACCTGGTAAGCTTTTCCTTCATGGCTTGCGCTTTCACATGGTACTTATGAACATTTTTTACTAATCGATGGCCATTCTGTATCATTGCAGAACTTTTTGATCTTTACATCTTTGAGAATGTTTTTTTTTGACAAACCAAGGAGAGCATTTGATAGTGGAAATCAGAATCCATGAAGTTAAAGAAAGAATTAGTGCAGTGGTCTCAAGATTCTATGATTTCGAGCACCATAGCTATTCTGAACTCCACAAATTGCAGGAATGCTATAGCATATTGTGGAGCACATGACAGTGTTTTATTTTATAGTTCAATGAATGCTTTATCCAAAAGTGAAGGTAAATTTTTATAACAATAGGACAACATGAGCACTAGTTAGGACATGCTCGTGTGGCTATCTTCTTCTAAGGATATATTGCTACCGCCCTGTACTAACTTGGTTCCTGTAACGTAACTCTGTAGGTGAAAATAGAGAAGCAGAAGGAAGTTGAAAATAGGATTCTCGAGAAATTTACAAAAAAGTTTCAAGACACATGATGTCAGGCACCAAATTACCAACTTGGTTAGTTTTGTCTGTTCATCCAGATGAAAATTAAGTATCTGGCTAGCAGGTACAGATTGAGTTTACCTAATTTTCTGTCAGATATGAGATACCACATACTACTCTCATTCTCTCACTTGAGTGTCTTGTACTGAAAGTTCTCTTGTTAGATCCCATTGCTTTTTTAGGAGGGAAATTAAACAATAGAGCAAGGAAAAGGACATGATAATCAAATCTATCAATTTTTGCAGTCCCTTTATGTGCTAGGTGCACCATGATCTGCTTTATGTCAGATGCATCCCATATCTAATTTCCTCTAGTATGATATTTCCTATAGTATTCACCTTGCATTCCTGCTCAAATGATTTCCATTTAGACTTTCTACAATTTATAATAATTTGGAATGCCATTTCCATCATGTATAGATGCTAACATAATAATCTAATAACTTTTGCAAGTAGCCTTACTAATATAGGATTTCTGTTTGACTAAGTATTGCTACTTCTGTTCTTTAATTGCAATGTGTTGTATCAGATCACTATGAAGTCTGTAGCTCACATCATGTTTTATTGATTCAGGTTTCCCAATTTTATGGTACGAGATGATGGACTGTAAGTGACAAATTGATGTAAATTCAGTATCCTTTATTGTTGTATAAATCTCTTGTGCCCATGTATTTTACTATGTATTTGGAATGGATTGAAAAATCCTTGATTTTGAGGATGAGCAGAATTCCTTATCTTCATGGCTACATCTTAGCTTGATGCGGTTATTCTTATACAGGTCTTTGCACATGCAAGGCCATCTTTCTTTGCATGCTGAGTGACAACTGTTCCATCATTTGCTAAATGCATAACTTAGTGTTGGGCCCAGCCATCGCTTCTAATTATTTGAGACTTTTTTTTAATTTTGTAGATTGAAATTTAGTGTTGTACCCCCAGCCATGAGTAGCAGCAGGTTTCCCATGCTTGTACCTTCTGTAGCATTTGCAGATTTTGTTTTTCATACAAAGTCACTGCATTTTCTAGAGTAGAACTATTAACTATCAATGGGTTGTCGTCTCCATTCTTCACTGGCTGAAAAAGATGAATAACTATTCTTATGAATAACTATTCTTTTGCATAGTTGTCGGTGTTTCGAACAAACACCAACTAGTGAATTTATAATTGTAGCGCGTTAGGCTCGGATGGTGTACTAAAGGACACAAGGTTTATACTGGTTCGGGCTGAATGTCCTTATGTCCAGTTTGCTGCTGCTCGTGTTATTAGTACCAATAAAGGTTCGTAGTAGGGGGTACAAACGGTCGAGACAGGGACATGTCCCAAGTCTCTGATGGAAAGGTCAAAAGGACGCCAAGAGCTCAATTGCTGCTTGGCTGTGTGTTGTGTGTGGAATTGATCCGTCATCTTCTGTATGAAATCGATCGGTCCCCTTAGTGGAGTGCCCTACCCTCCCTTTTATACAGAAGGGAGGAGTAGGGGTTACAGACGGGAGAAAGAGGAAAAACCCAAAGGTAGAGAAGGTCATTCGAGGGAGCCGTGTCTTCATTTTCTCCTGTGCCTGCCCTGCTAACATGGCAGACCGTGTCAGGGATGGCGTGTTCGCAGATCCATGTAGGGCCGTGCCTTGGCCTCTTTCAGCAAGTGGGTGCGTCCCATCCTACACCGGTGGACGGTGCGGCGTGCTAGAGAGCCGAGCTGTGACCCTTCGGGGAGTAGACGGGGAAGTGACCATACGTCCGTCACCGTAGATGATGTGAGTTCTGTCTTGATCATAGTCGTTATCGTATGCTAGTGTTGGTATCCGCGTCCGAGGGTTGATGGCGACGCCTACAACACTATGGGATAAAAGTTGACGCCTACAACACTATTCGGGCACTGTTAGGTCGGACAGGGCTTAAAGTGCCCGTCCCATCGTATCCTGATGGTACCGTCCTGCAGGTGTGCAGTGCATGGTCCTTGGTACTGCGGTTGACTCAAATGTCCTGTCGTACCCTGTGCTTGTTATTATGAAGGAACATGGTGTAGTCGTCCCTCAGCCGTCGGACGAGGCGAAGCCAGCCCTCAAACGTCGGGCGAGGTGGAGCCCACCCTCGGACGTCGGGCGGGGCAGAGCCAGCCCTCAGACGTCGGGCGAGGCGGAGCCAGCCCTCAGACGTCGGGCGAGGCGGAGCCCACCCTCGGACGACGGGCGGGGCGGAGCCCGCCCTCAGTCGTCGACGAGGCGGAGCCAGCCCTTAGACGTCGGGCCAGGCGGAGCCCACCCTCGGATGTTGGGTGGTGCGGAACTAGCCCTCAGCTGTCGGGCGAGGTGGAGCCTGCCCTCAGCTGCCGGGCGAGGCGGTGCTCGCCCTCGGACGTCGGGTGAGGCGGAGCCAACCCTTAGCCGTCGGGCGAGGCGGAGTCCAGCCCTCGGGGGTCGGGCGAGGCGGAACCAATCTTTCGTCGTTCGGGCAAGAAGCGTAGTAGCGTTCTTGTTTGACCGGAAGCATCAACGTTCGATGGTTATTAGTTCCACCTCATTGGGTACCCCGGTATTAGGTCCCCGACAGTAGCCCCCGGGTGATTGGACAGAATCGGCTAGGGGGTGATTTGACTTGCTAGATGGTGCGCGCGAGCGCACCTGATGGGTGTAGCCCCCGAGCCCCCGGGTGATTCAGATAGAATCGTCCGGGGGTAATTTCGGACCCTTCGCGGGTATGGCTGTGAGATTTGGTTTTTGTCAATCTGGACAGTTTAAAGGAAAACCCTGGTATCCCGTTCGCGGGGATTCGTCCAGGGTTGGCCCGGCTGGGACTTGATTTGTGGATCGAGGTTCTCTTGAGGCTTGTGTTCCTGAGTTCTAGCCGCTCGTGGGCCCATCCCTCGTCGGGACGGCCGTTGAAACTATTGGGCTAGCCCTTGAACTCTTGGGCCCAGGCGGGTCGGAGAAAAAACTTTTTGACCCGTATCCCCTCTGTGGGAAAAGAGTCCTGGTCTGCTCGGGGAAGGCGAACCATTTGGCGTGATTTTGGTGGGAAAGGATAGGGATTGCGGGCGCGTATCCCGCGACGTGACGCGGCGGTGTGTCGTGGCAGGCTCGGAGACCTAGGCGGGCGGTTGCTCTTCTTGCATCCGTCGCCCCTATAAAACTGAGGGGTTCGCCCCTAGGGTTTCATACTTGGCCTCTTCGCCTTCGCATTGACAACCTCCGCCGCCAATCGCCTGACCCTCCCGCACTCGCATCGCAGCCGCCGTCAAGCTTGCTTCCGCATCGCAGCCGCCGTTAAACTCGCATCCACCCCCTCCCAATCGTTTCAATGGAGCCGTGGTGCAGATCCAACATCACCCCTTAGCGCCTGGAGGGCCTCGTTTGTCGTGTCCTCATTCGCCCGCTGACCGCTGCCGAGGAGTGGCGGCTGCCCGATAATGAGGACGAGCCGTCGCCGCCCGAAGGGTATGTCGTGTCCTTCGCTCACTTCCACGAACGGGGATTCGCCATACCTGCTCACAAGTTTCTTCGAGGGCTATTGGATTACTACCAGGTGGAGCTACATCACCTGACTCCCAATGGGGACCAGCACATTGCGGCGTTTGTAACGTCCAGTCCCGACATACATGGCCCCGACCTACTCTTCCTAGGAGTGGTCCGACCCGCGTAGCAACCCGCTTGAACTTTCGTCCTCGCTTCGTTCAAAACGATTAACCGAAGGTTACTACGCATCCCTGGCCCTGGTATTTAAGTCGATCCGGCGATCTCAGAGTTTCCAGTATGGTACTAACTGGTTGCGCAGTGTTTTTCCGCGGTGCTACAGTAACCCGTGAACAGCACCACCGAAATCGGTCGGCCCAGTTTTCGGATGAACAGTGATAGGTGAACAGTAGCCCGGAGTTCGGATGCTACAGCACCGGCCCATGTTCTGCTACAGTGTCACCGGCCCATACTGGATTAATAATGGGCCCACTTTGGCCCATTAGGATGTTACAACGTTCGTCGCCCTATGTGAGGGGTTCCTGGGGATTAGTCCCCACTTTGACCTGTGGCGGTATCTCTTTGTTGTCAACCTGTCGAAGAAGCGGGTTGGGAAGCAGGAGCTGAGCATGCCGATAGGATGCGCCAGCATTCATCTCCGCAATAACCGGGTGAGCGAATACCCGTCGATGCGTCTGTTGACCTCCAACAAGGGGTGTCATTCGTATTGGTTTTATGTGAAGGACGACGTTGCTGCCCCCTTGCCAGTGTTCTCCGGGCGCATCATCAAAGAGGTCCCGGGGCTATGGAAGTGGGGTGTCCCAGACAAAGACAAGAAGAGGATCAAGGACCATCTTGTCGCCCTCCAAATTCTGAAGGAGAGGGGTGCGAAGGGATCGGGGATCATTGGCGCCTATCATACGCGGAGGGTGGCGCCGCTGATGAGCCGCGTGCTTCCCCTGTACCTGATGGCGCCTGGGGCGTCGCTCGAAGGGACGACGCTTGTCGATGAAGCGCTCCCCCCACCGAAGTGGCGTAGCGCATCAAGGAGGCGATGGAGCCTTCGAAGGACAACGCCGGTGTTGTCCTTGATTTCGTGTATCCAGTGCCGGGGCATCCCCCAATACGGCCGGAACCGAGGTTCATAGATTTCGTAAGTTCTTTAACCCCGTGCCTCCTTTTCACTTG